CCTGTTTTTTTTGGTTGGATTTTGGTTTGGTTTTTGTTTGTTTTTGAATGACCAGTGATGCTTTGAAAGCGATGATTTTTGTTGCGCAGTGTGTGTGTGGCTTGAAGAAGCGTGTGAGGCAAATCTGCTGATCAGAAATTCTGTTTCTGAAGGGGGGTTGATGACTCTTACCTGTCGTTGGAGAACCCTTTAAGAGCAGACCGTTCTCCCCTGGCCTGAAATTTTGGATCCATCAAAACCCCCTTCGCTTATTGAATATATATGGCTTACGATCTCTGGGCAAAGATGCCTTTGGGGATGGCGTGACTCAGAGCTGATTACTAGAGGTTTACTTCTTCCCCAAAGCCTTGGAGTGAAGAGAGGACCCCCCGGATCTCCCAGGAGTAACTTCTAAGTGTTGCCAGCCCTGGGGCACGCTAGGAGCATGCTGGGGCCAACAGATTTATGGGAACCATGGGCGTCACAAGGAGCAGGCACGTGCTGACTTCGGCTTCTGTGTGTCAGGTCCTTAACAATCATGTCTGGCATCGGCTGATCCGGCGCATCCTCGGATCGACAAGGAAAGGGGCTCCTGGAAGGCGGTGGATGCAGGGAGCCCCCTTGCAACTTGTGGGGCTCCCACGCTGCTGAATTTCCTCGAGGAATTGCAGCTCGTGGAGGAGAAGAAAGAGTTGCTGGATCCCTCCTTTGCTTCTAACTACGGGGTTTCGGTGCAAATACGCCCGTTACATTGTGAAGGGCCCTGGGAGCTGTTGCTGCGCTTGGGCGGCGGAGGCAGGGGTGGTCCATGGGTGTTTGTGCCCTCTCGTGGGTTAATGCCTGAATCCCGTGGCTGCTGGAGCCACCTCGGAGCTGGAGCCACCTCGGAGCTGGGGTGGCGGCGAGGTGGGGTGGCGGATGGTTTGATCAGCACGGGGCAGGGAGGGGGGAACTCCCGAGTTCAGAGGCTTTGCTGCGGTTTGGCAGCGACTTCCAGCTCGAAGGCGGGAGTCAGAAGGAGCCCCCTCGCCATAACTGCGCGTTTCTGACCTTGAGGACCGTCGGTAAATCCTTAATCCCCGCTAAATGATTTATTTGGTGCTGTTTAGCGCTAAACTTTTAAATCGGAACGCTTAGCGGCGTTAAATCAGAAAGCTCATTACCTCTCTTCAGCTGCGTTAATAACTATAATCTCTTTAATGGAAGCAACTTCATTGGACAGGATTTACTTCCCAAAAAACCTCCTCGACTGGCGTTAAATGTACTCCTGCCCTCTCGTTCTTCCCCAATTAACGGAGCGCTGATAAAGGAGCCGCTTTGCCTGGAGCACGTGTCGGGTCAGCCGGCGGCTCGGGGGGCAGCTGGGAGCGCAGGCAGGAGGTGAAGGCTTCTCCCGACTCCTCAGCCTTCCCTGCTGTTGGAGGCGTTGGGGAGCTCATCCGAAACGGGTCAGACTTACCGGTCGCCTCTCCTTGGGCTCCCCTTTGGGGTTTATCCGAATCTGCCCGTTTAAATATTCGTGGGGGACGCTCTTTAACGCGTTCCTGTGGCTGTTAGGGGAGCACAATGAGCACGTCGAGCCTGCGTTCTTCCAGCTGAGGGCCGATTTATCAGCCAGGACTTGGTGCTTTTTGCTTCATTAGCATTCAGTTTCATCTCCGTTCCTTACCAAAGAGCTGGTCTAGTTTCTTGAGATTTTTCTCTGTTAACAACTAAACAGCAGCAGCAACAACAAAGGAATAGGCAGTTTATCATTCGATTTCCCATTCAAGGATTTCCCTTTCATCTCTAGGTTCCCTTACAGTTTCCTACATTTCACACTTTCTAACATGTACTCGTTTTGTTGTCTGTATCCCTTTTTTTTCCCCCCTTTATTCTACACTGTCTTTTTAATTGCTGCTTTTATTTCTGCATTTTGTTGAAGGGGTTTCCAGCCAGGCTTGGCTTTTCGGGCTGCCACACCCCCCCTGTGCTTGCAGCTTCGTCACACTTAATAAACCCTGAAAACCCTGCTTTTGCTCCAACATTTATCCACATTTCTCCTCCTGGATAACTCCATTCATAGTATTGAGTTTGGGACATCGACCTTTTTGAAGTAACAATCCATTTTGGAGATAGTTTGGAGAGGCTTTCCCGAAGTCTGAAACCTATCGCTGCCGAGCGTTCCTGCTCTCCATCCTTTCCACGGTGTGACTGCAAACTGCGAGTGGGGTGGGGACGGTGGGGACGTCACGGATGTTTCGCAGAGCCCCCTGACTTTCCTTCTTGCAGCAGGGGAGATTTTGCTGCTGGATGATTTGGTTCCCCTCTCGTTATCTGGCACCACTGATAACGCTGCCTCAAACTGTCAGCCGGCCCCTGCTCCACCGCCGAGAAGTTTGGAAAAGGTTTCCAGGGAACTGGGTAAAATATGATTACACTCAGTGGTTGACAGCTTGTGATAAGGCAGCCCAAACGCTGCTCCCCCCCCCTCGTTTTGTTGGGCCCTCTGTAGTTTTCTACCTCGCTCTGCGCTGCTTAATTTTATGATGTTGTATGAGGAGCCGCTCAGGTGAGAAATCGGGACCATCTTTGGTGCCTTTTGTCCTCCTGGTGTCCAATAAACCACTCTGGGTGTTGCGGGTGGTCGTTCGCGTCGCTCTGGAAGTGGAAGGAGGCGGTGGGGAGAGGGGTCCCGAGGGAATCCGTCCG